TGGGCGCCGCCGCCCGCCGCTCTCGAGGCGCGGGACCCCTTCGCCGCCGTGTGCCAGGGGGCAGGTGGCGGAGCAGACGCCCCAACAGGGAGGGCCCGCACTCGTGCGGAAGCGGCAGCCTGCGCCCCGCGAGCGCCCCGAGCGTCCCGGCACGCCGGACGCGGACGACCGGCGTATCGAGGGGAATTTAGCCGGCGGACCACGCCCTTTTCTCGGGTTTCGGTTTCCTGGACCTCGCCCATCGAGGGGAAGGCTCATTCTAGGCCACGCCTGCTCTGTGGGCTCGCCGAAGGCAAGCGAAGAGGAATAGCGTCGGTGATGGAATTGAGCCAGCGGAGTTAACCGCTCGGAAGCCTCAGGCGGGCCGCCTTCCGCAGGCCGCTTCCGGGGTCCTGCGCCTGCGCGCTACTTTCCAGGAGCTTCCGGGCTGAGCGACCAGGTCTGGGTCCCTGGGGCGCGCAAAAGGGGAGGGGCAAGCTTGCGTGTGTGCGCGCGCGTCCGCGGTGACGCAAGCGAGCAGGCGAGTCTGGAGGATCGGATGGGTAGAGTGGCACCGCCAGGGTGTGTGGTGGGCGGTGCGTGAGGCCGCTCTGGGCCTTGGGAGTCGGCCTCTGTAGCCCGATCGGTTCTTGGAGCACATCCGGGGCAGAGGGCGCAGATCTCCAGGTCAGGGGTTGCGGTCGCCGTCTCCGCCGGCTTGCCAGCCCGCGCTTGGCCGGCCGTGCGGGTTAGGGTAAGCGGGCCCCCGTTCCCGGAGAGAGGACCGTGAGGTGAAAGTGTGGGAGGTCGTCGCGGGCCCGTGGCAGGGAGCCTGGAGGAGGCGTTCTTGAGGGGCGCGCTTGTGAGGAGGGGAAGTAGCGGTGAGAGCCGCACAGTATTGATTTTCTAGTGCTAGGTCCCGGGACTTTGCGGAGCATCCTTTTGGGGGGCCACTGCTGCCGTCCTCTGAGGCGCATGCTGCTATCAGACCCGCTTTACAAGTGGCAAGACACGCAAAAAGTCACTTACGTGGGGCCACACGGTACGTGACCGGGCGTCCCGCCGAGAGCTGTCTGGGGCAGAAGCCTGTTATTTTAACGTCGTTGTCTTACAGAGAGACAGAAAAGTGAGAAAAGAAAAAGGGAACGAGTGTCAGGAGGGGAGACGATGATGACCGGGGACGGGCTCGGGGAAGACCGGGGTGGAGCGTGCGGTCCCCCTTCCAACTCGCCCCCGTCCCCAGTTCCTGCAGCCCCGCAGAAATTCTCTGCTGTCGCGTGGCTTGACGAAGCGGAGCCGTTCTGCCGGAGCCAGCCCCGAGATGCGGGCCTTCGGGGGGTTTGAAGAACTGGGGCCGTGGGCAGGGCTGGGCTTTGTGCTCAGAGCCGCGCAGGGCGGCAGTGAGGGCCCGGGCCGAGGACCCTGCTCCCTTTTTTTCTACCCTGCAGCTATTTTTTTTCCTTCTGTCTGCGGAGAGAGCCTTTGTTCAGGCCTCTGGAGTTTTCTTTTCCCTGGCGCAGTTATGCTAAAACAAAACAAGAGATCCATCAGAATGTTGCTTTCCGGACAAGTCCGGTGCCCGACTGCTTGCAGACAAAACTTGCCGGTGGCATTATCCATGCGCGCTCTGCAGAGCTTTGCTTGGATGGGTCACCATAACTTTTGTTTAGAAGTTTACAAGTAGAGCAAGTAGACACCCCGGCCCTCCATCGCCGGCGGCGCAGAGCACGCGGGGGACTTGGTAGTTGGGTAGTTCGTAGAACTGTATCTGCGAGCATCTTTCTCTCTTTCGCAGTTTGTGACTCGTGTGAGAGTCAAGTTTTAATCTCAGCCTGTGAGAGAAACATTGCATGTGGTCAGAGTTATCCTTAAGACTTCCTTGGGAAGGTGCAAAGTGAGTGCCATTTTATGGCTGAGACTAGCTCTTTTTCTTAGCTTTGAGACTTACTGACATTTCTGTGGTTGTAACTGAGACAGCCTAGGTTCACTTTAAGGGCTTCATTATACAAATAAAGGTAGTTGTTATGCACTGCTAGAAGCTTAAAAGGAGGAAGACAAACCAAGTGAGTAGTATGTTTGGGGCTCTTAGGCTGATCCTGGAGCATGTGCTCATGGAACAGAAAGTGCCAGGCCAATAGGTTTTTTTTTTTGGGAGGCAAAGTTCTCATTGTGTGGATCTTGTAGCCCAGGCTGGCCTGGAACTTGCAAAGATCCTCTGGTCTCAGCCTCCCAAGTGCTGGGACTACAGGCATTTGCCACTGAGCCTGGCTGGTCTCACACTTCTAGTATTTATAAAAGAAAAAAAAAAAGTTTGTTTTGGCTAGCAATTAAACTTGTGATCCTTAACATTTTTGTGTTAAGGCATATGGTGTTTTGCTTTGTTTTTGTGATGCTAGAGATGGACCCCAGGGTCTCAAGCATCTAGGCGGGCACTCTGCCACGGAGCTATACCCTGAGCCCAGCTGCTAATATATTAAGCGCTGATTTTTCTCTTCGGGTAGCATATCCAGTGATGTGAATTACTGGATTAACTATGCACTTTGTGATTTCTCCTCAAGTTTTTTTTTTTTTTTTATTGTATTTAGTACAGGGTCTACAGGGTCTCACTACGTAGATTGAACTCATGATTCTCCTGTTTCCAGCCTCACAAGAACTGGGATTACCGGTGCATGCCAACACACTGAATCTCAATTACTGTCTCAGTGTGCCCTGGGCACTGAGCTTGAACCCCTGCAGCTGCACTCTGCCTAAGCAGGTGCTTTAGTCCGTTAAACTATCTATCTGGCCATCCCTTTGTCCTCAGTTTTTGAGTGGTGCTACCTTCAGGGGCTTGAAAGCCATTTATTTATTTATTTATTTATTTATTCATGCATCTGGTATTCACTACACATCTTGGACCCATAGTGATCCTCCTGTTTTCAGCTTTCAAAGGGCTGGGATTATAGGCGTGGCCCACTAACACCCAGACTCGAGTCACAGGCTCAGTGTGACCTGATGTGGGGGTCGGGGATTGAACTGTTCCTGAGCTTGCCAAAGCAGGCACTTGATCTGCTAAGCTATCTTGCTGGCCCCCAAACCATTTATTTCCCCACAGATTTTCTAGTTTAGCATTTAGTGCAAGATTGGCTTACAGATTTTTTGGCAGCAGTCACTGGCATGGACCCCATTTTTCAGAAATGTATGACAGTGGCTGCTTTTTATTATTTTTTATTTATTTTTTTACAGAGGGTAGCTTTTATGTATTTTTTAAAAGTTTTATTGGTACATATCTGCAGTACACAGTGATTCATTGTGAGGAATTGGAACATGTACATAGCACCTCTTGTTTTTATGTGTCGCATGGCTATAGTTTTTTTTTTTTTTTTTTTTGCAGAACTGGGGATTGAACTCAGGCCCTTGCGCTTGCCAGGGAAGTGCTTATTCTACTGAACCATCTCCCTGGCCCCCCATGGCTATAGTTTTTTAAAAAATAAAACTTTTCTCTAGTGGTCAGGCCTGTTCTTTGAGCCATTGTTGTGTGTTGTTTTTTTTTTTT